GTTCTGCTGTGCACAGGGGTGCTAGGAGCCACAACCAATTTGCTCACCCAGCCTCAGCAACAAGAGGGTGCTAATGAGGCAGGAGTGGAAGCCTGATGCTACTAAGGCAGGAAGCCATCTACAGGCCGAGGCTGTCTCTGAATCATTCTCCTCTGAGGTACACAAGAGAAGCAGCCGCAGTTCAGCCGAGCCAGAAGTTAGGTCTGATTTTGGAAACGTCGTCAGGAGGACTCCTCTTTCTGATGGTGTCTCCCCGAAAAGACGCCGCTCATTAAAATAAGTATAGTCCTTAAAATGCTAACCGTGTTAAGAGAAGAAGGTTCTCATCGCTGATAGCAACCGGCTTATCTAAACCCACTGAGGATGAAGATTGACGGTCTGGTGATGTCGTGGGCTACGAATGGTGCTAACAAGCTCCCCGGGGGAGAGAGGGTGCCTTCTGCTCCCATACAGACTTCAAACATACAAACCCGGACTTCCGAGACTGTAAGTGTTTGCAGGAGTAGGAAGCCCAGTCTCCGCCTTGCAGAGCTGCTGTGGTCTTGAACTGCCAACCATGCCGATGGCAGCCCAACACATCCCCACGACACCACCAGGGCTCCTTACCGCCTTGGAAACCCGCAAGGGCAGTTCAACCTGCAAGGGCCGTTCTACCTGCCCCACAGGGTCGCTGTGAGTTGGAGCCGGCAGTGAGTTCCGGTTTGAATTTGGAAAGATGAGAGGAAAGGCCGGCCTGTGTGAGCAAGACTTCCCAGGATGCCCCTCCATCTGCCCCCCAGCCCAGCCCAGGCACCCCAGCCCACCCCTCCCCCGCCCCTGACCTCTCCTTCCTCCTGCGAGCCCAGAGCGCCCTCTCCTCTCCTTGGCTGACCAGCCCTCTTCGCAGCTTGCTCTCGAAGGCTCGCCACCGGGCCTGGTGTTCCCTGGAAACCAGAAGAGAGGGTCTGACATCGTCAAGCCACAGTTGAATTTTTCAAGTTCGTGGCGATGGTGCTTCCCAGCAAGTGGGATGGGGACCCAACAACCGCCAAACGAAAGGGCCACAGGCCCTTAAACAAGATACAGAAGACCAGCGTGATGGGTGGTGGTGGGTGCACGGAGGACAGAACAAGAGACCGCCGGCCCTGCGCCATCCTCACAGCCCATGGATGCAGCCACGGTGTCC